TCAGATGAGGAAAGTTCAAATTCACGAGACACATTTATTTGACCTCAAGGGTTTTTAGTTTTTTCTAATTTGACGTCATGTGGAAAAATGAACTGATTTTTATTGAATTCTTTTTCCGTTCAGCTGATCCCCTGGTGGGAAGCATTGCCACCCAGTACACGACTAACAGAGCGGAACATGACCGAACAGCCAAACAGTGGACAAAGCGATACGCCACATAAACCCACAGAGGACGGCGGTGGCGGGTGGAGGGGTGGTCTGTGTTGGGGGGGTTATTTCTATCTCAGATTTTTAGTACTTTATTGTCTGGTATATTTTTTGCTTCCTGATTAAGTTATCTCCGCAAATATGGTAATAAAGGAACACAATGGAAAGGAAGACTTGTGTGTTTCTTTTTTTTTTTTTTCATTGTTAATTAAAGGGTGGATTCTAAATTTAAACGCTTTGTGGTCACGTCAGCTGTAAACGCTAAATGTCATACTGGGAACACGAAACCACGTTTTCCAATTGATGACTATTCTGATGTTTTTGATGTGTTGTTGTTCCCTGAATATGATAATGAGTATATTTAAAACACTTACACATTAGAGGTTGACAAAAGTTAAATCTCGCAAAGGTTAAGAAAGTTTAAATGTGTACATGGATCTGTCCCCTTTATCGAATCCGCTCCAAAAGTTATCAGGTTCCTTCTTGGCTCATACTCGATCGTTGATACCTGTCATCGGCCCGTCGAGTCCGGACAGACCCAACAACGCGGGCCGAGTTCAGACGGAACCTTTGAAACGATGTTTGGTTCAGGTTCAGGTTCGTTGATGTTATTAATTCATTCAATATTTGTCTTTTATTAAAGCACCAACACAATAAAAGAACACGTGATGAAACATTTTATTTGTGTCACCAGGTTTACTGCACAACCACATCTGTGAAGTTTGACCGGTTCAGACCAGATTCTTTTTAAACACGATCAGATAAACCTTCACAGAGCCCGGCTGCCTTTGTCTCTCGAAATAATTCTCACATATAAATAGTTTCAATTCATCATCACGGATCCGCATCCAACTTGGTCCATGCACCATCCTCCCACTAAATGTCGTAGAAACCAACAAACAAAAACCCAGACAGGCTGAAAACATGATCCCGTTGGTGGAAGAAACAAAACAAACTCTTAGAAAACATGTGACATGCTGCAAACCCTCATTTCAGCCAAACTCTGAGTGATTGTAATATTCATCATCTGGGATATTCAGGCGTCACCCACTAGAAACATCAAATCTGTGTTTCAGTGTTGAGCTCTTTAAATACTTCTGCAGTCACGGCTGACGTGGTCCTGATGATCTTTTGTCCTGCAAAGACTCAACGATCCCTCAGAGGCCTGAACTCCGGCCGCTCGGCTGAGTCTGGGAAACAAACTCTCTGGGTAAATGTTAGTAGGACACTAAAGGAATTATCTTTATTTACTTCACTAATCTCCTCACAAATCTGCCTCTGTCATAAAAGAACAAGTTAATATTTCACTGATCTCCACTGATCAAAACACAGCTGGTGTTGCACACGTGTGGCGGTTCATCCCAGACTCGATATATCACATTTCTGAGGTCAGCAGGTTTTCCATGTGAATCATTCACGTTCAGATCAGTCGCTCACACGGCAGCTCTGTCGTTCAATCAGGGAGATTTACGAGACAGAGAAGAGTAAACATGTTTTTCCTTGTGAGGAAGTCGCCAAAATAAAAGGTGGAGTACATCACGCTCTAATAACCTCTCGGCAGATCGATGGGACATGAGCCAAACGATGGATTGAGAACATTTTTTTATTATTTTTATTTACACAATGGAGTAACCAATAACCATTTAAAAACAAATGCCCAGCAGGTATTTACCGGATCTCGGTGTGGAAACAGAATCAGTCATGTTTAGAGGACTGATTGAAATGAGTTTGGCCTCAGCGAACGTTTCCACTGTCCTGAGTCCAGTTACTACTCTGACCCTGGAGTTGTCCTGGTCCAAACTGTGACGACAAACAAACTGTTGTTTCAGCAAATTATTTATCAATTCAAGGTTTTGACATTTGAGATCCAAACGTGAACATCAGAATATCATCTTTTATTTCCTGGTTTTAAATTCTCAACAACTTGCACAACCATTTTTCATGTGTCAAATATCGGAGCACGTGATTCGAAGCGTGTCGCGTGCTGCAGAGGTGTCACCTTTTAATTTGATTGTCTAACCGTGAAATAGGTGTGGATGTCTGCCCGTGGTTGGTTTGGTTTGTTGGAAAGGTTAAAGCAACGTGAGGAGCAGAGAGAGATGTCTACGAACAAGAGGGAAAGACCCGTCGACCCAATATCGTCTGAATTTCACCTCCTGAAGAGGAAACTAACACGAAATGAAAGAGGTCACGAGATAAGGCTTAGCAAAATATGAATGCGTAGGTTTGATGCAAAAGAGTGTTTTGCATTAATTATGAAACTTTGCATCTTCACAAATATCTGTTCCTTTTTTTTTTGTTGTTCAACTCCTAACTCGCCTCATGTTCATCCTGTGAAGACACAGAACAGGAGCTCGGTTTTGTCTGTTTCTGAAAAAGTTGACTTTATTTGTTTTATTTTTCTTCCAGTAAAACGTGTGTCGAACGTGACACGGAGCTACGAGCCAGCCCCCCCCCCCGTCATCAACTGTGGGCATCAGATATATCTCTAGATGACACGGAGCTGGCATGAGTGCCAAGAACATAGTGTTCTTACCACATGAGATCTGCCCCTTATCCTAAAAATAGGTCAGATGGAAGGAAGATAGGTAGTTAGGGAAGTAGATAAGCCCACACGTCCAAACAAGGGAAACATTTTTCTAACCTGATGTTTAAATCAATATATTTCAGAAAATAAGAAGCATTTCGCTGATATAAATAAATATTTCAATTATTACAAATACAATTTCCATCATATTACAGTATGAAGTACTCCATAAAAATGTTTATATTTTTAAAAACTTTTCTTATTGAATCCTTATTGGTTTTTTCCCCCTGAACTTCACTTTTGTCCCATTTGACTGAGGAGGTTCTGGGGATTTCCATGGTTCTCGAGAAAATGACAATATGAAATTTCACTTCACTCGGAATTGTACGAAGAGGACTTGTTTTATCTGTAGATTATTGTTCAGCATCTTCGCTGCGAGTCTGGTGTTTCCACGGAGGCGTCATCAAGAGCTAGAATGAAGTCAGCCAATGGAGTCAGCTCGAGAGGGTCTGACGGGAAGAGAATCGTGGTGAGCTGATGTCTGCAGCCAAAGATACTCCAGTTAATCAAGGCCTATCATCGGCATTGTGTATAAACCCGCCCAAATCAACTGATGCAACTGACTCTGTCGTTATATCACTTCTCTCTTGTTTGACACGTGTATTAACTGACACAGGGAAGTCGTCGTGGGCAGTACGTGGAGGTACAGTGGGACGTCCACTAACCAGAAGGTCTGTGGTTCAGTCCCTGGCTCCTCTTGCTAACACTGAACTCCCAGATGGTCCCGGAGAACTGTGTCCTGTGATATTGAGAGATTTGCACAGTTGGGTTGTTTTGTTGAGGTCTCCTGTGAACCTGAGGTTGTGGACACATGCATCTATTCACATGTAGTACATGTATTTAAACATACACACATGCTCCCACTGCACGTATACATATATTTACACATGTAGTGTATATGCAAACACACGTTTTATATTTTATGAAAGAGAAAAACAACTGAGTCTGATTTATATTGAACTCAGAGTGTGATTCATCATCTCCAATCTAATGGGTTAATGTAATTTATAGTATTTAATGGATGATCTATATCAGTGGCTTCCTTCATAAGACAATTATAGACATTATACATAGATAACTGGTGGATTTGATCTTTAAAGGTCCAGTGAGTGAGATTTAGGTGAAAGGTTCCATGGGCAGAAATGAAATATAATCCTAAAAAAATAATCTTGGTGATGTTTTCACTCGTGTGTTTCATCTAAATTGTACTACTTGATGCTTTCTTTACCCTAGAGTGGGCCCTTTATATTGAAATACTTAATACTACTCCTCTCTACGGAGGCCGCCATGCTTTTTTGTTTTTTTTACAGTAGCCCAGACTGGACAAACTAAACAGGTTTTGAGTTTTTATGACAACTGAAGGTTTCCACAGGTTCTCCTTCATGTTTGGAAGCAGAGGGGGAGGGGGAGATGAGGGGCGTTCAGCTGCAACACGACACTTCACCACTAGATGTCACTAAACTCTTCACACTGTCCCTGTAAAGAGATAGTTCACTGGAAAATGAGAATTAACTCATTATCGACTCACCGCTTCGCCTATGGAGGAGCTGGGTGACGTGTTTGAGATTTGGTGTAAATGACCCTGTTTCAAGTCATTTCATGTTTTTCTTCTGTTGTTTTTTTTTTTTTTTGAAGAAGTCACCCTTTTTTTCAATTGTATTGGATTTGGCTGCAACGCTGTTTACCCCTGAAATTCCAAAATTGTTTTGTGGACACGTAAACTACTCGAGTAGATAAGAGTGAACGATCCCTTTAAGATTTAAAATCTTTCCCAAGTGTTTTTAGTTTTTTTTTTAAGTGTGAAGCAGTTTTTCCTTAAACACTGTTGTCGTTCATGTCATGAGTGGAGTACACGGTTTGTGTAGTATTTGCTGTGAAGTAGAATGTAAGTGTTGATTGAAGTGCAGGAGAGGCGCAGCCTGTTGTTTACGGACTCAAACCCGAATGACTCCATGTTCCTCCAGCACAACGTGTGTGTGCATGTGTCTGTGTTTGCGTGTGTGTCTGTGATGCATGTGTGCAGGCTGCATGTCTGTGCTGCTGCTCCACGCTTCACGTTGTGCGATGCAACGTGACCTGCTCCGTTCGCCGTCCCACTGTTACGCGTCAGGCCGCTTGGCCCCGCCCCCCCCCCGGGGTCTGAAAGTGTGTCACTGGGTTAAAGTGGCTCCATCGGCCCGGCCAGAGGGGCGTGGCCGACAAATGGGTCACATGGGCGAGCCCCACTACTGAGAACATTCAGTTCTCTCGACTCAAACCCACAGACGCGCTCACAGACACTCACTGACACACACACACACACACACACTGGGAGGGGGAGTTCCTCGTCGACGTCCTGTTCTCGCTCAGAAAGTAAACGCCGCTGGATGAGACGCAGCTCCGGTGACTCTCACATCTGGACCTGCAGCTCCTCCTCGGACATCGCCTCCTCCGGTGTGAGCTCCTCACCTGCGTCTTTCTTCGCTCCTCCGCTCCTCCTCGTCGTTGTCTTTACGCACCAGTGGCACAAGACCCGGTCCGGAGTCCACAGCCTTGAGTCATCCCCTCCGTCGGAGATGCCTGAGGACGTCGGGACAGCGAAGCCTGGTAAGAGAGGACTGGTGTGTCGTTTAAAGATCTCTGCAGGGACACGGTGGTAGTTCGGGTTCTGTCTGCGTGCACCGTGCAGGGACTCGAACCGCAGGGGTGGACATGTTGATGTCTTCATTCATACTCGAGGTTCCAGCTTCTATTGATTAGATGTAACATTCATGGGACAGGATGTCCCCCTGAGACATGTATGTCTCATAAAGTGCAGTCATGTTTTACTGTTTAATCGATTTGCTTGTGAATGAAACTGATCCAGAACAGTGACACTTGTTTCTCTCGCTGATCATTTATAACACTCAGGATGTTCACTGAAGTTATTTATGTCTCATAGTTATAAATTCAAACATACATGAGTGGTTTGATTCCACCGGATGCTCAATAATAATAACAATTAAACGTTGTTTTATTCAAACTGCGGGTTTTTTTCAAATGAATGACCACAGTTGGGAGCTGATCCAGAACATAAACACATATTTGTTCTGAGCGTTTCCAGCTCAATCATGTGTCAGGACGTGAGTTCACGGATCATGTTCCATCGGGGAGTTCGGTGCAGCGGGGTGAAGACGCGGGTGTCGCCCTGTTCCTGCGCGTAAAAATCGGGGTTAACGCGGTGCCAGCGCGTCGCGGCGCTTCTCGCTGCTCTTCGGATTTGACACAACAACAGTGTTCCACTTCCCGCTCACATGGACACCGTAGTCTAGCCATGTGCCCTTTGTGTACACGCTTTCTGGAACACTCTCGCGATTGGCCGAGGGGCGTTCCATTGTGGCGCACACGTTTCTGTGAGAGTCGCCCGCGATTGGCCGGCGCGCAGCCCGTGACGCACAGCCTTGCATAATCCGGTGTGTGCTGCGCGCGAGGCTGGACTGCAGGGTACACGTGAGACGGAGGGAAAGAGCAGCAGCTGACCTAGATTTGTTTTTCTCCTCCCTCCCTCCTCACCCCCCCCTCCTCCCTCCCTCCTCCTCTTTGCGCCTCGCTTTCACAGAAGTACATGACAGGTCCACGTGTGGGTGGGCCGTGAAAGAGAACAGTCATGGTTGGGGTTAGGTAATCGTCTGTTCTGACTTTGAAGAAAAACACTTCACACTTTTTTTTTTATTTATTACACAAATATTCCACACACACTAAA